GTAATACGCATTGCTAGGTGCCTCATTAAAAACCTTATAAGGAAAACCCTATAGGAAAAAACCTTATTAAGGAAAAAAGAGTGCATCGCGTATTTTACTCCCTGATGAAAACCTTGTTTCAAATATTTGAGTCTCTGCATTATAATCTTGTATCTGCATAACCAATACGATATGCACCACCTTTGTTAGCATTAGCAAGATATATAAGTGCATAGCAATTGCACTGAGATAGAGTATTTCAGGACCAAAGAGTTCCTCATCCTCTTCTGGAGGTCGGAACGGATCCTTATTCATTTCAAGTGATCGAACGCCATTGGTGTACTTAATGGGTGCGCTTTGTCCATGTAAAAGCGTTTAAAGACCCTTTCTGTATAGGCAAATTGATGAATAAAGATCTCGTCTGCTAAATATTCAATTTGCAGACTAAGATAAATTTTTATGTTTCCAAGATCTTTCATCTCAAATTCTTTCTTAAGATATTCAATTGCTTTTGGAGCTCTTCTGGAGTTCCAACAAGATTTATGTCATCAACGTAAACAGCAAGTGTAACAAATTCTGATGACATTTTCTTTATAAAAATAAATGGACAAATAACATCATTTATGTAACTTTCTTTCAGCAAATATTCACTGAGGCGATTATATCACATGCGCCCAGATTGATTTAAATCGTACATAGATCTTTATAATCTGATCGAGTACATTTCTCGAGACTTTGAACTATATGCTTCAAGCATTTTGAATCTTTCAGGGATCTTTATAGAGATTTAATCAAATGAGTCATATAGGTTATGACTCGCATTTAAATGGCATGACATCTTCAGGTGTCTGGACTACTGGTCCGATCCTCACAATATTTCACAGTATTGTGCACTATATTGTAACAAATATATCGGCGACGATTATTTTGTATCGGTTCCTAAGCGACATAACTTGTTGAGATCTCATCACTTTCTTTATTTTCAGGTACCTCAACTTCTTCTGGAGTTTCATGAAATGTTATGTCGTGGGCTCTTCTAGAGCTCATTTCCTCCTCATTATGATCATTTTGATCATTAGCTCCTTATCATTTTTCAAGGATTGTTACCTTTGGAACCGATTGGTCTACCACGCTTCATGTGTACAGTAAACTCTATCCTTCATGGACTTTAACTTTTAATAGGAGCATTTGCAGCTGAAATATGATATTTGATTTTGGATCAGTAAATCCTTCTGGCATTTGACTTGAATTATCTTCTAAGTGAGGATCATATTAATGATAATTCGATTCATATAGGATATTTTTCAGTTGTTTATTCCATCCCCCAAATGTTAGAAAAACTAACATATATCCCCAATCTTCTTTGGGAAACATATCTTTGTGCATTGTGGTAGAGAAATTAATCATATACCACACATCAAAAGATAGTAAAATATTTGGTTTCTGATCCTAAACCAATTGTGAGGGGAGGACTTATCATATATTGTTGGTCTGATGCATACAAGTGCTGCTATATGCAATTTAGAAAATCTTAGACCAACACATGAAGCTTTATTCTCATAAACAATAGTTTAGCCATTAATAGGAGATATTCACTGCTAAACTAGCTTGTATATAAACCAGCATTATCAAGATGAACTGTCTTGATTTCATAATCTGAAAATTATGCTTTTAAGTGAGAAAAGCAATTTCAAATGCCAAACTGCAGGTTGACAATAAACATACATGTAACCATCTTATATATGCATCTATAAGTGGTTCACATGATAGGTGAATGTGCCCATATTCACCTTTTATATATTTCAGAATCAGGGGTCTTAGTCCCAACTTTAGCTGGTATAATCAATTTATTATGAGAACAAGCAACACAGGAGAATTCTTGAAGAATCTTCTAGTTCTTCAGTATATGTTTATTTGAATTCTTAAATAGCTCATTTAAAAATGGCAAATGAAAACTTCAAGTTTATCATGGCATGTGCTATCTCTTAGTAAACTTCTGGTTTACTATGACATAAACTTTTGCATTAGTAAACTTCTGATTTACTGTGGCTACTTTTGTATTATTAAACTTCTGGTTTACTGTGATACATGATGTAGTACAAATCGAAGAATAAGGCGGGTAACTTCTCATATACATATTATTTTACCCCCTATGATTGTGGAAAATGAAGATTTTCGATCTTCCAATCATTTATAGTCTCAATATGATAGTCATTTATTGTAGTAAACTTCAGGTTTACTACAACATATGTTTTGACCATAATCATATAATATGAATGACATATTTGTATATAAGGTCTTCGAGAGCCTTCATTTATTATCCAGAATCTAATATTTATCGGACACTACTGGTGTCATGTGTCTTCTAGGCAAACAGTTAGCTCTTCAGGAGTTGTTGATACATTTTGTACTATCAAATATTGCTCAGACACTTCTAGTATCATAAGAGAAAATCACAATCAAATAAATAATATAAAATAATTATTTAAGCACAAGAAAACTCCTCTTCATAATATTTTCCTACTTCAGGAGGCAATTTCAATTGTGTTACTTCTTCAGGAGCAACTTTAAAATACGAAATATTGAGTATATATTCTCTCAATTATACTACCTCTTCTGGAGGTGAATTGTAATATATTTACATCAAGAGCGCGTTCATATTTACGAGATTTATTAATATTGTCACATTCACTTCAGGGAATGGATTAATATTATCAAAAGTTCTCATCCTTCAGGAAATCGAACATAATTATCTAAACGCGCATTAATCACATCAAATTGTGATGCTTCAACCTCTTTTAAAATATTTACTACTTCAGGATCAAATCGAGGCGTGCATTTAATATAGAGAATATTTATGTAGCTTATCTTCAATTGTAACCATAGAAAGCCTAAATTATCACTTCTAGTGATCATAGTCATATACCACTTCTGGTGGTTAACAAAATTTAGTTACAATGAGATATACGAAATATAACCACTTCTGGTGGTTGTATATTTCTTGCAAACTCTGCTAGAGTTTAAGTTGATCTACTAATGTTATCCATATTTTTTAAAATGACATAAATAAAATATATATAGTAAACATCATTATCAAAGCATAACTTTTATTTATGTACAATTACATAACCATACTATCTATTACAAATAAATATTAAAATATTTATGTTTCTACAGATTCACCACCGATCACATGACTTGTTTCTCCTTCTGGGAGTGCAAAGTAATCAGCTACATCCAAATGCATGAAGTCTAAATTATCTTCAGAAATAAAATTTACTTCAGCATTTTTCTTTGTCTTCTTTAAGGAGGCTTGATAAAGCTCAACCAGGTGCTTTGGCGTACGACAAGTACGTGACCAGTGCCCTTTTCCTCCACATCTATAGCATGCATTTTCTACATTTGGAGCTCGCACCGCTTCATGCTTTTGTTCCTTCCTTTTCCACTGCTGGTGGTGAGGAGGGTTCTTTGGTGCATTATTATTACCATGATTAAAGTTTCTTCCCCGACCACGGTCATGACCACGACTGGGGCCACGACCTCTTCCGCGCTTAGCTTGGTGGAAGTTCATCTCATTCACTTCAGGGAATGGATAAGAACCAGTAGGTCGACTTTCATAGTTTTTCATTAATAGCTCATTATGTTGTTCGGCTACAAGAAGATGTGAGATAAGTTTAGAATACTTTTTGAATCCCATCTCTCGATATTGCTGCTGCAGGAGCATATTCGAAGCATGAAAAGTGGTGAAAGTTTTCTCCAACATATCATGATCAGTAATATTATCACCACATAATTTCAATTGAGAAATAATTTTGAGCATAACAGAATTATACTCACTGATAGATTTAAAATCTTGTAGCCTTAGATGAGTCCAACCATAACGTGCCTGTGGAAGAACGACCATCTTCAGGTGGTCATATCTATCTTTCAAATTATTCCACAGTATGACTGGATCTTTAACAGTAAGATATTCCATTTTCAGGCCCTCATCAAGGTGATGACGTAGGAATATCATTGCTTTGGCACGGTCTTGGTTTGATGCTTGATTTTTGTCCTTGATGGTGTCTGCCAGACCCATCGCATCAAGATGAATTTCAATATCAAGCACCCAAGACATGTAGTTTTTGCCCGATATATCCAGGGCTACAAATTCAAGTTTAGAGAGATTTGACATTATTTAGAAAAAAAGTTCGTACCTCTGATACTTTCAAAGTATTTGCTCGAGATGGCAGAGTCTCGTGCTGATAACGTGTTATAAAATAAAGACTATAAAGTAAAGACAAGTATAGAGAGAAACTGATATATTATTCGAATTCAAACTGATGTACATAATAAACTGAAATCTTCTCTATTTATAGAAGAAAGCAAGATGCAGTGTAAGCTGCTACTGCAAGCTGTTGTGTAAGCTGCTACTGTACCAGATATAGATAATCTTCAACTGGGGGTAATGTTTGTCCATAACGGAGTATTGAAAGGATAAGCTTATTGTACCCGATATGGAAAATCTTCTACCGGGGGTAATATTTATCCATAACAGAGTATCGAAAGGATAAGCTTATTGTACCCGGTATGGATAATCTTCTACCGGGGGTAATGTTTATCCATAACGGAGTATCGAAAGGATAGCTTATTGTACCCGGTATGGATAATCTTCTACCAGGGGTAATGTTTATCCATAACGGAGTATCGAAAGGATAAGCTTATTGTACCCGGTATGGATAATCTTCTACCGGGAGTAATGTTTATCCATAACGGAGTACCGAAGAGATAAGCTTCTTCAGGAGGCTTATTTCCAATAGAGTACTAAATAGATAAACATATTTACGGCGGAGTCCCATATGGATAAGCTTCTTCAGGAAGCTTATTTACAACGAAGTACTAAATGAACATCCATAATATTATATATATATATATATATATATATATATATATATATATATATATATATATATATATATATATATATATATATTGAAAATGGTGTAGTTTTCATCAGATACACAAGCTATAAAGAATGGCGGGTTCCGATCGAAGGGTCAACTCATCTAAAATTGTATTCCGTTTACTTCACGTTAAACCCACTTGCCCTAAGATCCAGCTTTGCATTTACCTAGATCGGTTTCTCTTCTTGAAATTACAACATTTTATATATATCATCATCATCTTCTCCAGTTTTTACGTAAAGAGCCTTTCTCATCATCAATTCATTGCATAAAGAACCAGCTGGAACATACACACTTGTAGAATTGAGGGGAAAACAAAAATTCTACAATATAATAGAGCAAGTAAGAGCGAGGAAGCAAATGGAGAAAGCAAAAGTTTATCTTGAACTAACCCAAGAAGAAACAGACCGGGTTTCATCACTTGCCTTTCCTCCTCACCGAGTAGGCACCGAGTTTAGCTTCTATAACTGTTATGCGGTCAGAGGAATCCGAGTTGACCGCGTTGAACCCGGTCTACTCTTTTGCACCTTCAAAGTTCCTCCTCGCCTCGCTGTATGACATTTGCACTTTCTTCTACTTTATCCAATTTACAGTATAAGCTTAAAATGCTGTATATATATGTTATTAGTAAGAGTAATAAAGTGATCGTTGAAAAGTTAGTTTGAAATTGACCATTTTGTTACTTGATTATCGCTTGGAAATTAAAGTCTCTTTAATTTGTGTGTAAATTTGTAGGATAGAGAAGGGAAATTAGCACCTGGCGCCATAGCCGGTCTTGTTGACGATGTTGGGGCTGCAGCAGTCTTTTTGGAGGGTCTCCCAATGAATGTATCAGTGGACATGTCTATTTCATTTCTTTCAAGTGCCAACATCCATGTAAGCCTTACTCATTCTTCCCATTTCCTCAATGAGTTCGTTCGAATTATTTTTGGATCTGGTGGAAAGGCGTAGAATGATATGTTTATCATACTGAGCTTCACTTGTTGCTGCTTATCCACACAATTACCTAAGTTGTTTTTCTCGCATCTTTTCAATATCATGAATTTAGCTACTAGACTTCCTATATGTTGCTTCATATCTCGTATTATGATAAATGGACCTTGAGCATAACATACTAGCTTATGAGATGAGGATGGTCAAGACCATATAACGAGACCAAAGATCTCAAATCTCACTGATGTAGGACAACTCAACATATTTTATGTTATACTATACCTTTTCTCTTCATCGTACCAGTTCAGTAAGTTAGGGTCTGAACCAACTCGATGTACGTAGTTTATACTGAAAACTTCCTTTGCTCACTCCAATATTTCATTTGGAAAATTATTTGTGCTTATTATCTTTCTTCATTTTATTCCCCTTTTACTGATGGATTATGGGCTTTGTTATATATTACGTACTACATCTTTGCTGCGACATTTGCAGGATGAGCTGGAGATCATTGGTCAAGTCTTAGGTCAGAAAGGAGGTTATTCTGGGACAAGTGTACTTGTGAAAAATAAAGCTACTGGGGAGCTCATTGCTGAGGGGCGGCATTCATTATCTGGTAAATATGCTAGTAAAATGTGATATGAGGTATCTGCATCAAGATGCCCTTTGAAGATGTGGTCTTTCCACTAGCTGCTTCATATTTTTCTTTTGATCTTTTTTTTTGTTTTTCTTCTATCAGATATTTTTCTTCCGTTGCTGCGACAACATGTTTACCCAGTACATATAAAAACAAATGTTGCTTCCTCCATTTTTAGCGAACAAAGGTGGGGGGAAATCAAATACCCCTTAAAATATGTGGAAAAAACCAAAGATATACACCACCAATTTTAGGGTTCTAGAAGAGTTTTGTCAAGGATAAGATCACCCTAGTATATTCTTCCAAGAACGTACTCTCCATAGTCTATCCGTTACCAGAAAGGAACGCTCACATGAAATACATATAATCATGGCCAACAGTTATATAACACCTATATATAACTACTAATTCCAGACTATATTGAAATTCTATGTTATACACAACCAACAGAAAAAAGCTAGCAAAAGGCAACGACCGAAGTGAGAGAAATATACGCGCAGGCTAGTACAGATGCCAATATGCCACATGCTTTTTCAAAGTCACAATCAATTGCCATAATACTTCAGGAGATCACAGAAAACGTACAATAGTAAAACACAAACGACAGTGCAACTAAACCCCATTTCTACCAGTCAGAATATAAGATAGAAAGCAGATTTATCTTGAATAAGACCAACCTTATAAAGACTTTAAGCTCTTCACAACAGAGTGACAGACTAAACCCTCCCCAATAGTGCAGTCCTTCATGATGAAGGAGACGAAGACCTAGGTGTAACAGACCTTGAAACAAATCTAGAAGATGCACTAACACTGCGACTCCTCTTAGAGACTCTCTTTGGACTAGGAGAATAACTGCTACAAGACTGACTACTCCTGGAAACACTTCTCGAATAGCTCCTCTTTGACCGCCTAGGTGATACACTGCGTGAGTAGCTTCTCCTGGACCTCCGATAACGAGGTGAAATGCTCCGAGAAATGGAACGATATCGGCTCCTTCGATAGTAGTACCTGTCGCCAGGGGAGTAGCCACGATAGCGGCTCTCTCTGTAATAACGATCATCCCGGGAGTAGGAAAGATCACGGCTGTCAGGAGAGTAGTCACGGTAGCGGTAGCGACTTCTTCTGTAGTAACCGTCATTTGGAGAGTAGGAACGATCACGCCGCCTGTTAACAGGAGAGCGGCTTCTTCTATAATAACGGTCATCTGGAGAACAGGAACGATCACGCCGACTCACGGGCGATCTGCTATATGGAGATGAAGATCGAGAATAAGATCTGCCATGACTATAGTAAGGAGAATAAGGTGAGCATGAGTGACGGCGGCGGCGACTGTAATATGGAGAATGGGATCTCTGGCGTCCTCTGTAACAGGGAGAGTAGTATCCACGCTCTCGTCTGTAATATGGGGAGTAAGATCTGCTCCTGCTCCTGTAACTCTCAGATGAGTAACGGGGAGAGCAACTCCTTGAACGAGGGGAATAACTTCGTGATTCGCGACAAACTACATTCACAAGGTGGAAATTAGATGACATCACAGACTGATAAACCAAGTGAATTAATGCTCAGGATAGGATATCATACCACTGACTGTTCTGAGACCCAAATATTTTCCTGGAGTAGGTGTTCTACCTCTTCTCCTCCTAGCCTGCATATGTAGGAGACAATTTTTAGATGACATATCTAGACTTAGGTGGTTTGATGGGGATACAATATCGCAATGTAAGTCTCCAATGAGAAAAATGAATAATAAGCAATGAGGGTGCAAGTGAATAAAAGAAAAATGAAGGCTATACAACCCTCTGGTTTAACGGTCTGTTTGCTTGATGTGTTTCAATTTGTTATTTGGGACTTTGGTGAAGAGCTGCTACACACAGCTTCCCTGCTGCCAAAGAAACTCAGGCGAAACAAGCAAACAACTTTCAAACTCAAATTACTGATTGGAAGTAATCTATGATATTGATACAACTAAGAACTAATACCAGCAAAGGGAAATTGTAAACGTAAGATTCAACGAACTGAGCAAGCATTCAGTAAATTCTACCTTCTCCACAGTTATCACTCTGCCTTCAAGTACCGAGCGGTTCAAATACTTGATGCAGCGATCAGCCTCCTCAACACTGGACATTGTCACGAAACCAAACCCACGAGATTCCCGGGTCCATGGGTCAACAACAAGATGAACATCTTCAACCTAACCGCACAAGAAAAAAGCCTTTGATGACTTTGGTATCCCAACAATATGCATACACATAGGAGCAGGTTCTACATGAGATCGCTGTTGTCTTCTTTTATATAGAGAAGAGGGCAAAAAGGCCTACATTAACTGACTACAGAGAAAAAGGGAACGGAACCTTCAGGAACGACAAATATACCTTCCCCTCAGCAGAAAAATGCTTCTCGACGTCTCGCTCTTTAACGCGGGTTGAGAGACCAGTCACATACAAATTGTTCCCTGGGTTCTCAACGTCGCTTGAATCACAGCTCCTGCCATTTTAATACAGTTAAATAGCATAAAACTCTAGTTATCAGCATATATAATGAAGAAGTGAACTGCAGACATGTACCTTGACCGGCTCCTTGAAAGATATTTGGACCTTGAGACAGATCTACTATATCGATTGTATGAAGGTGAGCGAGAATACCTGCAATACAGATGCAATATTTGAATATGAAAAGGAATAATGACCATATAAAACCCACATTAAGACCCAACAATACCTTGACCTCCTGGAATACGACATCTGCAGTTAAGATTAAAGAAGGTGTTAGGATTAGGCCTATGATATAAAAGAGAGAAGGAGCAGCACAGCACATCAACACAAGCCCAGCAGACATGTGTAAATGAATCAAATCAAGATCCATGAAAAATAAGCCTAATACAATAAACGCCTCAAATATTTTGCACCAGCTTACCAACACTGCTTTTTAACTTGTTTGTCAATTAATCCCAAACTAATTGGTGCAGGCTATATAAATTCTCTACATCCATTCTGCTCTACTCGGCCTATTTCATCCCAACACTGGTAACTAATTTATCTTTTGAGTCAAATTAGAGGATCCCTAAATCTCATATTATATTTCCCTGTTAAAACAATTTAACCTCAATAATTCCAAATATTATAGAAGTATAAAATGCACAGTCCTTAGAGATTAAGGCATAACAGATTATATGGCAATGTTAGAGTCGGTCAAATCAAGTAGAGAACAACAATTAGTTAAAGATAGATGTGGTCAAGCATTTAAACTTGATGGGTTCAACCTTTAAGGAATACATCACTGAGCTAATTATAGTTTAAATTATGAATTATGGTACCATTTGTTGAAATTTTGATTGGTTTTCACATATATATTTATGTTCTGCAGGGGTTCAAATGAACCCGCGAAGGACTGCCGCCGCCACCGGTTACAGATGTCAAAAGGAAGACGGTGAAACTCATTAACTTCTATATATCAAGACCTATAACAACAACATCACACACAATTATAGCTCAAAGACGACGAATGCGCAGTAAACCAAATTTCGACAGAGACCAATCTGTATAGTTCGGATTGTTTTCTTGACTTGTGCAGGGTAATTATTGGGAAAATCAACGGAAAGAACCCATCCAACCCGGTAATTTCACATTCTAATGACGTCAAATGGTTTAATTTAAATCAAGCACTAATGAAAAGCACAAAACACACATACGTAAATGGCACACGATTTCATCATCTAATCCAGTTTTTTGCTAATTCATGTCGGAGAAGAGAAGAATGAGAAGAAGAAAAGGGCAGATGAAAGGAAACTTACCGTGAAGAGATTATGGCGTAGGATTGGAATTCGTCTCTCTGTTCTCTCTCTATTTCGCGAAGGCTCTCGAAATCAATGAAGTCTCAGCGAAGGTGGGGAGAATATTTATATACGTGGAGTGGGAGAAGTTTCTAGAGGAACGGACACGAAATCTTTTTTAATTGGAATTTAATTCGTCCCATTCTGTGGTGTCAGTTTCTCTTGGCCAAACCAGTAAGGGCAAAAGAATAAAGAGACATTTTGCTTCTTTTTTTATTCCTTTGTATTTCAATTTCCATTTTTTCTTTTTTGTAAATTAGTGTGAGGTGTAACTTGTAAGTAAGAACAAGCTTTTTCCGGTGCTTGATGTTGCTTGGAGTTTTTCCAGCATCCTCTTAGTTAGAAAAGCATTGAGGTTTTTAACTTTTTTCACAAGATGTTCAATCTCTCCCCTTTGCATCAGCATTTAGCTTCACATTTTATTTTATTGTCTGCAATAGTTTCTGCAGTAAAAGATTGAGCACTGCACCTGTTATCTTTCTTTCTTTATTTTCAAAATTGTTCTCTTACAATTCATTTAATTTCAGAATTGTTCTAATTATTTCTTTATAGATGTGTACTCTTTTTGCAAAAATAATTGAAGACAAAAAGATATAGTAGCGATTCGCTTGGAGAGAACAAAAATTATGTGATAGGAACGTGAGGAGGCCTCTGTTAAAAAACTAACGGTGTTTAGGATAATGATTTAAAAGTCTACCATTTTGTAAAAGTAAATGGACTATAAGTGCTCTACGTGAAAGAATATGTATGATTTTGGGCCTAAAGCCAAAGATAATGTATGATTTTGAGCTTTTTCTCACAAATTCTCCTCAAATGTTATTGAAATATTATTCCACCTATATGTAAAATACACAAATTAATGATGAGAAAATAATAGTAATTGAATCTATAACTAATTCAATGCATGGTTGCAAGCGTACTCATGATCCTCAAGCTCCAGGTTCATAAAAGTACTTGTTTTACTACCTTGATTGTATGATTCTACGTTACCATGACCAATAACTTCTCCTATGACATCTGCCACATTAAAATAAAAAGTTATAAATAAGGTGATAAAACATTCAACAAAAAATAGCGAAAGGTAAATTAGTTACCGAATAGTTCATTCTCATCAACCTCAAGTTGATTTTTGAGATGCTCATAAGGCTTGGTAACCACCAAGCCTTAATTTTTCTTGTCTTTTTCCTTTGTCCTCTTGTTTATTTTTCAATACTATTTCCTTTAATATAATATAGATGTAAGATACAAAATTTTTATTTAATTATTTCTTTCTTAAAAAAGAATACCTACAATAACTGAACTATAGACAAAATTTAATTAAAAATACCTATAATAATGTATATTGTTCGTAAATAAGGTTGTAATTTTGTATGACAAGTGTGAGTAATCATATATTGTCATGTCACAATGATCTTTTTTCTTTTACTTATTTATGGAATTGGTCCATAACACGTTTTTGGAAAGAACTTCTTCTTTCCATTTTTATGTGAGCAGAATATTTCATACCTTTTTCTCTTACCCATATTAACTCAAAGCATTAATTTCATATTTCAATAGAATATTTGTCATATGTAATATTATTTCAAATATGGTTATATATGTTTCACGGACAGCTCCATTTCATACTTCATTCCCACCAAAAAATATTAATTATTAATTAAATACAAAAGAAAATCAAATAATATTTTTTTGAAGGAAACCATGAACTTATACTCCCTCCGGTCCATAATAAGTGATTTTTTGGCTCTTTTTTTTGTGGTCCAAAATAAGTAATTTTTCCAGATTTCCAGATTGAATTAATTATTTTTTCCCTACATTGCCCTTGGAGTAAATAATGTTGAAGTATGTGTTAGGACTTAGGAGTATTTATGTGAAGAGCTAGTAAAGGTTAATATGGTCAATTTCATTACTAATTAATGTTAAAAGGTGAGTTTCTTAATATGGGTGAAAACAATCAAAAAATCACTTATTTTGGACCGGAGGGAGTATATAATATAATATAGATATGGTAATATATGTTCACGATTCACGAATAGCTTGATTTCATCTTTCTTTCCCAATAGATTTTTTTCTTCAATTATTAATTAGATCCAAAAGAATATCAATTAATAATTATTTTTAATGTTATACAAATAGAATCCAACAAATAGATTCCATAAAATTGCCAAGCGACATTTTCTCAACATGCTACTTGGCTTAACCTCATGCTCCACTACTCTCCTTTCAATATAATATAGATAGTTGGGCAAAAGGTCACGTAATTCTCCTTGTGTAGACCTTCCAAACACCCGTAGTACGTTTTAATTAAGAGAAATGGATGTGAGCTTGGATGATCATATAGTTTAAACGGGGAATAATATATAATTACTTCTGTGGTTGAACCACTTTTACAGATGCACTCTTTATTTTTGTGGGGCTCCTGGACGATTTCAAAATGGAATTATTATACCTTTAATAAGCCAAAATCACATATGTGTTGACATGTGAAACACACGCGCCTGACACGTGTACATTTAATAAAAATATTCATTTTTCATATTCTTTTGTTTTTCTTTTGTTTTAATATTTTTTCTTTTTCTTTCTTTTATCTTCCTCATGTTTTCTTCTTCCCAGGAAGTAAGAGTGTACTGTGGGCCGGGCCCAGTCCGAAATCGGCCCGAGACCGCGGATCAAACGGGCCTAACGGGCCGGTTTCAGTGGGCCGGTCTCAAATGGTGCATTAAGCCCGTAGTGGGCCGGTCCTACCCAAATAGCCCACGAGCCCGGGACCGCTAAGCCAGGGACCGGCAGGCGGGCCTGGGCCGGTTCAACCAGGCCTAACGGGCCTCAACGGCTATTTTATAAAAAAAAATTTAATTTTTTTTTAAAAATGACCAACGGTCAGATTTTTAAAATCTAGCCGTTGGCCATCAAATTCTAACCGTTTGGGAGTTTAAAAAATAGCCATTTGGCCTCCAAACTTTATATAATTATACTTTTTCCCAATTCTCAACTATAAATACCCCCTCATTCTTTCATTTTTACTCACAAATTCATCAATCTCTCTCAATCTATATCTAATTTTCTTCTATAATTGCTTACTTTATTATTGCAATTTCGTGAAAAATTGTGAAGTCGGTGAATTGAAGTATTCAAGTCTTCAAGTCTTCAACGATTTTCAATTTTCAAGAAGTTGTTCGTAAATTCGGTAAACTCGTTCCAACTCGTTCCAACTCTTAAGTTTTAAGAATATAGTTTTGTTTGTTTTAGTTTGTATAATTATAATTAATATGGCATTTTCTTTGAAAAAAATATTTGGTAAGGGAAAATCTAAAATTGGTGAATCTAGTCGCCAAGCTACTACCCTTCCCCCGGCTCCCCGACCCAGACCTGTTACCCGTCCTCCTCCACCTATTATTCTTGATAGTGATAACCCTTGTTTTCAATTTTCCGAGAGTGAATTTTTTCATGATGTTGCACCAGGTCAACAATTAAATGAAGAAGTTATGAATGCTCTTTATCCTAATGAAACTATCTTTGAAAATGATGAGGAAAATGATGATGTAGATGAAACCCGACCGAATTTAGATGATACACCTACTAGTCCTGCTAATAACCCAACTGATGCCCCGCCCGACCCACCCGTAGGAACCCCTACTTTTAATAGACAACCTTCTAAACGCCCCGAAACATCACTTGTTTGGAACTTTTTTACTCAAGTAAGAGAACAAAATAATGCTAAGTGTAAAACTTGTGGGAGTTTGCTGGCACATAAATTTACTGGATACCGTAGCGGTACGGGTAGTTTGACTAGACACATAAAGACACACCCTAGAGATAAAGCTAGATTTTTACAAATGAAAGCGCAGCTAGAGGGGACAAGTGTAGATACTACGGTTAACCCTAGTAAAGGTTCAAATCTAGTTCAACCAGGAATTAACACTGTGACCGGTGGCATTTTATATTACGATCCAAATAAAGATCGTGAAGAATTAGCAAAAATGGTTACTGTTATGTGCTTACCCTATAGTTTTCCTTCTAACCCTTACTTTGTGCATTATATTAGAAGAGTTTTTAATCCTACTTATAAAGGTTGGCCTCGCGCAACCGTAAAGAGTGATATTTATAAATATAAACATGAATATGAACAATATAGGCTCCGTTCGTCTCAGTTGCGGCAAAAGAGTTATGCAGATCGTAAGGCTCGAGATGTAGCTTTCATGGTTGGTGAGCGGGTATTGCTTCGAGTGTCGCCTATGAAGGGCGTGATGAGATTTGGGAAGAAGGGCAAGCCTAGCCCTAGGTTCATTGGTCCATTTGAGATTCTCGACCGTGTGGGAGAGGTGGCTTATAGGCTTGCCTTGCCGCCTAGCTTGTCAGCCGTGCATCCAGTTTTCATGTGTCCATGCTTTGGAGGTATCACGGCGATCCAGCCCACGTGTTAGATTTCAGCACTGTCCAGTTGGACAAGGATCTGTCTTATGAGGAGGAGCCGGTGGCTATTCTAGACCGGCAGGTTCGATAGTTGAGATCGAAGAGTTTTCCTTCAGTACGAGTTCAGTGGAGAGTTCAGCCCCCTAAGGCATCGACCCTGGAGTCCGAGTCCGATATGCAGAGCCGTTATCCTCATCTATTTCCCGACTCAGGTACTTCTTTCTTTTGTCCGTTCGAGGACGAACGGTTGTTTTAGAGGTGGAGAATGTGACGACCCAAACGGGCATCACCTATTTTCTCACTCATTCTGTGTCTCTGAGGCCTTGAAAACCTCATTTAGGCTTGCCTCAATTTGCGTGCGCAGTCCGGGCGCGTAGCCGGAAAGCTTAAATATAAATTCTGTGTAAAAATTGATGAATTTTGATATTAATATGAATAAAGTTGACTTTGGTCAACATTTTGGGTAAACGGACCCGGACTCGTGATTGGACGGTCCCGGAGGGTCCGTAGAAAAATATGAGACTCGGGCATATGCCCGGAGTCGAATTCCGAGGTCTGGAGCCCGAGAAATGAATTTTTCTGAAATTAATATGGAAATTTAAAAAGGAAATTGATTAGAACGTGTTGGTATCGGGCCCGTATTTTGGTTCTGGCGCCCGGTACAGGTCTTATATGTGGTTTAAGCGCTTTCTGTGAAATTTGGTTGAAATCAGACGTCATTTGACGTGTTCCGGACCTAAATATCTAAGAATGAAAATTTATGAAGTTTGAAGAAAAAGTGATGATTTTGAGGTTTGATTCCTCGTTTATGATGTTATTTTGGCGATTTGATCGCACGGTTAAGTTCGTAGGATGTGGTTGAGTTAGTGTGTGTGTTTGGTTAGGAGCCCCGAGGGCTTGGGAGTGTTTCGGAGGTGGTTCGGGGTGTTCTGAACTTAGTAAAAGTTGCAGAAAAATCT